CTTCTCCCGGTCTCTTCCCCCTTTCTCTCAACAAAAATCTGTGAGTTTCTTCACAAAAATCTAAACTTTTTGGGTCTAAATCAACATCTGAAAGGATCTCAGATTCAAGGGCAATTCATCCACTGATGACATAGAGTCATGTAGAAAATTCAGGATTCAGGCTAATGAGAAGAGGTGGCACCAGGAGAAAGAGGGAACCTCAAGGAAAAAGTCTAGTCAAGAAAAAAATTCAGGAGCCTAAAAAAGGCTAGTATTCTGCTAGCATTTGTGGAAGCAAAGTGCTCATGCTACAAGAGTCTGTATACAGTAGAGACCTCAGAGATTGTACAGTGGGTAGAGAGTGAAAAGTGGCTGCTTATTTTGGATTCCAGAGCTTGGAAACACAAACTTGAAGTCATATGAAAAATATTGATTTATTGCTAAAAAACCAGAACCAAACTAGAAACAAAAAAGAAATTTAGAAGAGAAATCAAGAGAGAGAAACAGTGAGAATGATAATGAAAAGAAGATAGAAAAAGAGGCATACCACTAATAGGATGGATATAATGAGAATATAAGAGAGGACTTTGAGAGCAGAGGACATAAGTAGATAGGATAACAAACTATAAAAAGAATAAAAAAGAATAGAAAGGAACAATAGCAGAGAGTTAGTGAATTCCACATCAAACAAGAAAAGGAGAAGAGAAGGAAGGTTTGTGTGTCATGGGGGAAGAGTGATGAAGGGAGACAAACAACATGTTGAGCAGACGTGAAACTAGATGATAGAGAGGTGCCTTTCTAGGATTATTGAGAAGTTCTAGAGTTGTTCTTGATGAGGAGAGATGAGAGACAAGGTCAGATTGATGTGATGTGATTAGGAAGCAAGGGTAACATTACAGAAAAGGTCTTGAGAGAAGTTGATCTTAATCTTGGGTCTTGATCGGACAGGGCAATATGGCTGAGATTCTTGGTAGAGTCTTGGAAGAAAGAGAATCCAAGCTCTTGTTGGGTCTGGGGTTCAGACATTGGTTTGAGGATCAGTTTTGACAAGTGTTGAGCCCAAACCTTAAGTGGTACTCTCAGTCTTTAGGAATTGCGGCTATCTTGCTGCAGCTGAGGTTGCGGCTAGAAATGCGGATACTAGAAAACTCAACATCATGCAACTTAGTCAAGTGCTGTAGAAAAGGTCCTAAAAATGAATATGAAAAAATTGAAAACAAAAAACAGAGTTCCAAAATTTGTGAAAAATAAAAAATATTTCTCAAAAGCTTTGACATTCATTTGCAGAGAGAGGCATCCATTAAAACCATCAGTATCAGGCATCCAAAATATTTTATCAAAAACACTGGATTTTGAATAGGGTGGATGACATCCCCAACTTGTGTTTGTTCAACAAGTTATGAATATTGAAACATAAATCCTGACTATTAATTGCTTTTATTAGTGGACACTGGAGTTGAGATAGAAGTTCAGGTGGTCTATTCTAATTATTCAACAAAAGCCATGTTTTTTCTCCAATGAATGATTCAATCAGTCAACAAAAAATCATATGTATTAGGTTGGGGTATGAGGAATGAAAGAAAGATTAGCATAACAGAAAATACATAGCTGATAATATTTTTGAGATGGAATTATTGGCTGAATGCTTGTACTGTAGCAGGGTATCAACAGTGGCTCTCTACACTAAACTATACCAAACAGCCACTGAGTTGTAGCGTAGTGACCCCAAGAAATTCCCACTTGTGATACATATAGCATTAGCGGACTATTAGCCGAGGTTAGCAAACCTGGCTGCCCACTGTTGAGTACATGATGATCTCATTTCAACTATATCCATGTTTTTACAGGCTGGTTTGTTTTTTTGTGGCAGCTATTCTCCACTGATGCTTTGAAAGCTAGGGCACAATGAACACTACATATCTTCATCATGTGCAATTTAAACATCATCTCAGACCCAAATATTCCTGATTGCAGAGTTTTGAAAGATTCAACTGTTCCTGGATAATCCCATGATTTT